GCCCAGAGCCCCTTAGTCAGTCCCTGGTGGAGCCAGGATTGGAACAGGGGCAGTCTGATGCCAGAGCCAAAGTTCTCAAGACTGATGCAGATTCAACTCAGTAAAAATAAACTGAGGGATTAGTTTGTAGGATGATGCATGAGAAGGGAATTTCAAGTTGCACAACTAACATGAAGTGGGAAGAGCGCCGGCTTTGGACTGTGTCCTGGGCTGTAATCCCTGCTCTCTTACTTCCTAAGCCTGTATCTCCAGGCTACTTACCTGACCTCTCAGGTTCCTGCTCCACAGGCAGGATCCCAGTACCGATCCCAGTACTGATCCCCGAAAGTGAGGCAGAGAATATACTTGGGGAGGTGTTAATTTCCTTTTCGTTTCTGTGCCAGTTGTCAAGTCTTCCTGGGGAGGGTGAGGAGTGATTTGGGAATTCAAAATTAATTCTTGTTTCAGGAGGGAAATGTCCAGCCAGGCCTCCAATACCCGATCTTTTGGACAAGACTTTGTGCCAATCCCATTTCCTACTGTTCCATCTTGGGACTGCCCTGAATCAGAGGAAAGCGGGGCGGGAGCAAGAGGGGCGGGGGGCTTCAGGCAGCTCTCAAGGCTCTCAGGGGCCCATCTTTCTGCATCCTCTTTTTCCTCCTTCTTTTTAAAAACAAGGATATTCTTTTGCATAACCACTGTACAGATGAACAGATTTAGGGAACTTAACCTTGATGCAGGACTAGTATCTAACATACAGTCCTCATTTAAATTTTACCAGTCATCCCAATAAAGTCATTAGAATCCAAATCCGGGACCATGTCTCTTTACTCCCCTCTAATCTAGAAGAATTCGCCAGCATTTTTTTTTTTTCTTTTTGGTTATACAAGTCTCGAGGTTTTTTGAAGAGTGCAGGGACCCTTCCTAGCCTTTTCTGGGCCTTGTCCAGTCTTCCCAGCTCCCTCCCAGGCTCTCCTAGCCTCATCCTGGAGCAGGGTTGACTAAGGTGAGGGATGGGGAGTCCCCTCGTCGGTGCAACATTGAAGAGGTGTCACAATACTCAATTATCAAGAGCGGTATTTTAAAAAATCAAATTAGGGCTCCAATTTCTTACAGAACACAGTATCAACAGTTTTAGGTAAAGACAGGATCGATAGCCCTAGTGCTCAGACAATAGGGAAATTCAGTAATACCCATCCGGTTTCTATTTAAAACATGTCATTTATTATGGATCTTTTTTGACATTTTTATTTTGAAACATATTCCATGAATAAAATATTAATCAATTTCGGTCACTGATTTTTAGATGGCCCTTACATTTCGTGCCCCCTTGCCCTGCAGGGGCAGTTTTTCCCTCCTGTCATCCAGTCCTCAGGATAAGGGAGAGAGAGAGGTGGGGCTCCCAGTGAGCCACTGTTCTTGTGCCCTGGCCATGGTGGCGGAGGAGGGAGGGTGGGGCACGGAGAGTAGAGGAGGGAGAGGAGGGGTACAGAGGCCTGGAGCCCAGCCGGGTCTCTGGCCTGGAGCCCTCTAACAGCTTCCAGCTGCTTCCACACCCACCAGACTTCCTGCCTTGGGAGTGGTGTTTGGTTGTCCCCCACCCCCTTCTCATCAAACGTGTGATCTGATTAGATCCTTGGATCCTGTCATCTCTAACAGTCTCCTCTCTCTTAACACTGTGTGGTTCCCCCTTAATCCATCCTCTTCTGACCCTCTATTTGCTCCTATTTTCATCCGTCCTGGGAGCCCCTTCCGGCTCTGTAACTGACCACTGTCCAAGAGCAGGCACCCGGGGCAGGGTGAGTACCCCGACACTGGTCCACGTTCCATGTTCTGGGAGCTGAGTCAGGACGGAGGGACACAGGTGGGGTGTCAGCCCCACTGAGGACAGGTCTGTGGCAACAGGAAAGAGCTAAGGACTGAAGTTAAGAGAGCCCACCAGGGTCTAGCCTTCCCTCCCATAGGGCAGGTTGCTTTTCTTGGCCAAGACCCTTTATCTCCTGGAACTTTAGGGGTTTTGTTAAAATGGGAGGTGGTAATATTTTTCTGCCTACCTCATGGGATCATAAAAGAACCAAATAAGATAACGATGAGAATCATCAAGGGTTATACTTCGTATTTTCTCTCCTATCATAAGACAAATAATCCCTTATTTTTATTAAGACCATTTCAGATCTGCTACATTATTCTTTTATTTTCTTTTTTTCTCTGCCACATTATTTGACCTAACTCCGTGAGAGGTACGCAGAGCCCATACCCCTTCCTGCCTTGAACCAGCATTTCTTTCTTTCTTTTTTTTTTAGATTTTTATTTATCTATTTGACAGAGAGCACAAGCCAGGGGAGAGGCAGGCAGAGGGAGGAGCAGGTCCCGGCAGAGCAAGGAGGAGGGGATGCAGGTTAGATCCCATGACCCTGGGATCATGACCTGAGCCAAAGGCAGATACTTAACCAACTGAGCCACCCAGGCACCCCTTAAACCAGCATTTCTGTTGGACTAAAGCGGGTCACTCGCAGAGCTGGAGCCCCTGCCTCTCCCCACCCCCCACCCCACCGGCCCATATCCCATCACAATGTGAACAGAATGGATAGGACCCAGGAGTAGGTTTTGGGCTGTTTTGTTCTAATATTTCAGATAAAAGTTTTTGTGCTTTATGGAGTTATAATTAATGTAAGATAAACTGCATCATCTGTTTAAAGGATAAACATTGCTGTGTTTTGTGAAGCTACAAGCACAATTCACCCCCTGGTTTCTTTCCTCCTCTCAGAAATCCCTCCCTCTGGCCCCCCTCCCCATCACTTCCCATCTGCGGTCTCTGCAGGTTAGCTCACATTTTAAAATTTCATATAATGGAATCGTAAGTACACATTTTTTTTTAAAGATTTTATTTGTTTATTTGACAGAGATCACAATTAGGCAGAGAGGCAGGCAGAGAGAGAGGAAGGGAAGGAGGTTCCCTGCTGAGCAGAGAGCCCGCCGCTGTGGGGCTCCATTGATCCCAGAACCCTGGGATCATGACCTGAGCCGAAGGCAGAGGCTTTAACCCACTGAGCCACCCAGGCGCCCCTCTATGTTTAACTTTTTAAGAAACTGCTGAACTTTTCCAAAGTGGATGTACCATTTCCATCCTCACCAGCAGTGGATGCGTTCCAATTCACCTACCTTCTTGTCAACACTTGGTATGATTAGTCTTAATTTTAGCTATTCTGGTGGGTGGGTGTAGTGTTGTTTCATTGCGGATTCAGTTTGCATTCCCTAATGACTAATGACGTGGAGCATCTTCTCATGTACTTTATTTGACACTGTGTATCTTCTTTGGCCGGGTGTCTGTTTAAATCTTTTGCTCATATATTTTTTTATTGTGTTGTTTGCCGCCTTCATGTTTAGTTGTAAAAGTTCTTTATACATTCTAGATAAAAATCTTACGTCAGTTGTATATTTCACAAACATAGCCCCTCAGTTTCTGGCTTACCAATTTCTTTTGAAGAGCAGTTTGCTATTTTGGTGAAATCCAATTTATTGATCATTTCTTTAAAGTTGGCGAATTTTGTGTCTTGTTTAAGAAATTTGCCAAGCCGAAAATCACTAAGATTTTTCTCCTATGTTTTCTTCTAGAAATCTTATAGTTGTGGCTCTTATATTTAGAAATCTTATAGTTGTGGCTCTTACATTTAGATCTTGGTCCATTTTGAGTTAATTTTTTAAGGTAGGGTCAGGGGGCTTGTTTTTGGCTTTGTTTCATGTTTGGTATATGGATCTCTGTTTTTCCGGCAACATGTATTAAGAAGGTTGTCATTCCCTCAATGAATTGCTTCTATACTGTTCTGGCAAACCAAATGACTGTATGTGCATAGGTTTACTTCTCAATTTTCTGTTCTGTGTGTGAGTATATATGTGTGTGTGTGTGTGTGTGTGTGTATATATATATATATATATATATATAGATATATATAGATATAAATATATATATATATTTATGCCAATACCACATTGTATTGGTTACTTTAGATTCATAAAAATTCTTGAAGTCAGAGAGTCTAAGACTTATAACTTTGTACTTTTTTTTCTTAAAGATTTTAATTTTAAGTGATCTCTACATCCAACATGGGACTTGAACTCACAACCCACAAGTTCAAGAGTCAATGCTCTATCGAGCCAGCCAGGCACCCCTAACTTTGTACTTCCTTTTGAAAGATTTTTAGTTATTAGAGGTCCCTTGCATTTCCCTATGAATTTCCCAATCAGTGTGCCAATGTTTACAAAGAAATTCCAAGGACTGTGTTCAATCTATAGAAAAATATGGGGAGGATTGATAAACTTACCAATTGGAGATCCAAGCAAAGAGGATATATCTCTTCTTACTTGTATTTTATTTAATTTCTCTCAGCAGTGTCTTATAATTTTTCGTATGTAGGTCTGTCTCGCTCATCTTTTGTCAAGTTTATTCCTTAAACATTTCATGTTTTTAATCCTATTAGAGATAGTGTTTTTAAAATTTCAATCTTCATTGTTTGCTGCTAGTATATAGAGGCACTACGGATTTTTCTATATTGACTTTGTATGCTGAGCCCCTCCTCCCTTTAAAAACTCAGTTTAACAGAGCAGGAGCCTGGAAATACCGAGGTGCTGGGCATTTGCATGATATGATAAGCATTTAAAGAGGCGCGTAACAACATCAGCATCTTTCCCTGTTTTAAGTCAATAAGTCATTCCAGCAGCAGCCCTGCAACCAGGTAGCTGGGAGAGGGTGTGTGAGGAGGGGGTGGTATGAATCGGACCCTCCACCAGCAGTGCTCTGCTAGATTTCTGGGGGTGTTCTGACAATCGGACTGAGTGGGAATGCAGTGCAGCCCCTTTAAGAGACTAGGACCTGGCAGCCAACAGGCCACTGGGAAGGCAGCCCGGGAGATAAGATAAGGCCCCCAGGCTGGTTTAAGCCAGGGTCCCAAGCCACAGTGGCCCGGCTACTGATGGACAAACAGGAACCAGGGGTGATAAGGAGGAGATGCCAGCACTAGACTCAGGCTGGCAAGGCTGGGAGCAGCCAGCTCACCCACTAGGACCTGAAAAGAGAAGGGGGGTATTACTGGTGGGTGTGCCCAGGGACGGCACCTGCGTTCTCTTGTGTATCCTATAGATTTAAAATCATGTTTTTTAAAACCCTAATAGACTATACCTAAAGGCCTTCCACGTGGGAAATGTTCAATAAATATATTGGTTGAGTTCCTTATGTTCTCTCTACTGATAACTTTATGCTCTAGTAAGATGTTCTGATAAGCATCCGAAGGTTTTGAGACTACCTGGTTTCTTGCTCAAGCTAGAAAAATCGTGGCAAGGACTTCCTCTGAAAAGCCCAGAGCTGCTCATTTGCACATATCTGCATAGATTTGCATGTGTCCTACATGTAGATACTTCCATGCTGGATTTAGATTTCCCCAAATCAGAAGCCTATTTTTAAAAGGGATAAAGAGGGGATTTGTCTCTATTCATTCCTGCCCACCTTTCATCTGCATCCTCTAAACATGCAAAAAAAAAAAAAAATAAAAAAAATCTGCTGCTCTGACCTGTGAAGAAGACCACTCGAGCCTGGCATCCTTAACGTAGGTCCAAGCAGCCCTCTGCCTGTCAAGGTGTTTCTTTTCTTGGTGTCTCTTCCAATTCCTGGTTCCACTCTCCAAACTCCTGAGTGAGGCAGGGAATTATGAAGGTAAAGAAACGCTCTAGCTAGCCAGCCAGGAGCTGAAATGCCCAGAAATCTTCACGGATGGTGCCCTGTTACCTGGGCAGGGAAGCCAGAGATGTGCACACCTGCCTGAAAGCCCCTTCCTCTCACTTCCCATCTCAGGGCTTAGGATGCTAGGACTACCTTTGTTCTCCCTCCTCCAGGAGTAAATAAAAATATCATGCCCTCCCCCAGATCCCGGCTCCTCCATTGGCCTGCTAGGCAAATATTTCATAATGTGGGCTCATCCAATTGGGCACCATGCCAGAGCCAAGCGCCTCAGGTTGCCAGTGCGCTCCAATCAGGCGGGGCAGCCTGGGTGGGACTAGAGGGCTCTCGCTCTCCGCATGGGAGGCCGGCATTACTCAGGTGGATGGCATCGACGTGGGAGTTACCGCTTTGCCCGGGGCTGGGAAGAGGGGCCAGGGCTGTCCATCAGCCAGCGGGAGGTAGCCCAGCTCCGAAGGGGTTAAGGTTGGTCGGCCTGTGTGGCTGTTAATGATTGCTACCCACCAGGGACCTGGTAAGTATTAAAGGAAACCTTTTCCCTATTCCTGAGTGTGAAAGGAGTCAGAGTAAGAGCGCTTGGAGAGGGACCTCGGAGAAGAGCCAGGGAGTGAGTGGTTATCTGTCGGCGGACTGTTTGGGTGGTTCTGGAACAGGTAAGGGGACTAGAGAACCCATTCCATCTGCTCCAGCAGGCTTTTGTTACAACGGGGTACAAATTCTCAGCTTGGGGCCAGATCGCGGATCATGCTGTTTATTAGAAGGAAATGCGGAGGGTTGGTTTTGTCCACGGAGTGAACTACTTGGCACAGAAGCTGAAGATACAAACCTTTGTCTGTCCTGCCGCGGAGACAATGGTTTTGTGGGGCCGCCCTGCGCGCAAAGCTGGAGCGGCTGCTCTTCCTCCCTCTCCGAGCCATTGTCTCCGGAGAGGGGCTCGGGAGCTCTGGGCAGAAGCGCCTGGGCCTCCTGTGGGCTGATTTCCCGGGACCAGGCAGAGAGGGCCCAGCTCGAGAAGCCGGGATAGCTGTGGCTCACCCTTCATCCTTTTTCCTTAGGGTTAGGTGTGGAGAGGGCCAAAGGAGGATAGAACCGGTGGGAGGCGGTGCTGAGAGTTGGCAGTGGGGGGCGGTGGGGGGGCGGCTCTGAAGTCATTGAGGGAACAAAGTTTGTCTTTTGGGAGCCAGACAAAGAGGACCAATTTGGGGGGCTTAGTTATCTCTCGTTCCCTTTCTCTCAACTTCCTGCTCAGGTCCTTCCCTCAGGCTCCAAAACATTAGTGCTCTTTGACCCAGGCACCTGCTGACAAGTCAGGAGCGCATGGGGAATGTGCACCAGAGTTCTGGGTTTTGCTGGAAGGGCAGATGGACTTTTTGCTGCTGGTGGTGGTGTGTGTGTGTGTGTGTGTGTGTGTACTCACACATGCACATGTGACAAAAAACGAAAGCCTGCTCTGTCTCCAAAGCAGAAACGTTGACGTGACCCCCACTTGGCCAGGAGCGCTTTTGTCCCCTGTCTCTTTCTTGGGAGGGAAAAAGTTTCCGTGACATAATGATGATGTTAGGTGGCCCTGGAGGGGTCTGTTGGACAGGTACAGAGCGCTCCCTGTGCCCGTCTGGGAGGCAGATTTGAGCGATAAGCAAACCCAGCCTCCTGGTGGCTTCCAGCGGGCGCTGCCTCTGGCTGGGCTGCCCACAGGCAAACAGAAACCAGGCCCAATACGCGGGAGGGGCCAGGCCCCAGACCCAGCAGGGCCAGAGCAAAAGCAGCCAAGTTTCTGGGCACGGGAGCCAAGAAAGGGGGAAGTAGAAATGGGAGGAGCGGGCCACTTGTTGTGTTCTGCCCCGAACTGAGAGACGGAGCCACGATGGGGCACTGGCCCTTGCCATGCACTTGCTCACATCGCCTGCCTGCCGGTGGGGCAGCCGGACCAGCCGGCGCACCGTGTCGGGGGTCTTCCTGGGCACGCACCCGCACAGGTGCCCCGCGCGTGCAGAGGGGCTTGCTTCGGTGCTTGGCTGGCTGTCACCATCCTGACACTTAATTTTTGAACGAGGGGCCTGTGCGTTTGTATTTTGCATGGGGGGCTGGTAAATTCTGTAGGTTGTCCTCTCCCCAGGCCCAGCCAGGATTTGCAACAGCCACAGAGCTGCTCCAGCAGGTGTAGGCGGACTCACTTGTTACTCAGGTGTCACTTCCCAAGACGGGCTTCTGTCCTGGCCGGGACCAGCGCAGCATTCTTCTCCCTACCCTCTTCGAACTCCCCTCCATTCAGTTCTTCTTGTGGCAGCTTCTTGCCTAGTGACTGCATGGCAGGGGGACAGGGGTGGGGACAGCAGTGTCCCTTACCTGATTCCCTCCTTCCTGTCTCCCTCTTCCCTTTCCTCCACAGGCCCTCCCTCTTTCCTTTACCTGGGCTCTAGGCTGGGGTCTAGGCTTAGGAGGGCCTCTCCCCTTCCTTAGAGACCTTCCTCCCTTCTCTGGGCCTGGGAGATTAATGAATGGGCTCTGGCACCTGCTTCATGTGCTGTTTGCTTAGGAACAGACTGTTTCCCTGCGATTACCACGGGTTGCAGGTCTGGGTGGTGGGGTGGGGGTTGGGGAGGTGCAGGAGAAGGAAGACTCCTACACCCGATGTCCCTGGTGGCAGTCCCTCTAGCTTTCCCCTCCGTGGTGGCTTTTCCTGCTCTAGACCAGAGGACCTTGCAGACAGCCTCTTTTCTCCCCACCAGCCTCTGCCAAGTTGGCCAATCCAGGTAGGAAAAGGAAGGCCGGGGAGGAACAGGTCCCCCATTCTTCCCCCCTTTACCACCTCCCCTCTCCCCATCAGCTGGAGCTGCTGTACAACCTTCCTGGAAAGGCCTCCCCAAGCCCGCCCCCAACAGGGCTGTCAGTAACAATGTTTTCAAACCTTGGAGGGGAGTCTTGATGCCTATGACTTCAAGATGATGGGTTACCCAAATTAATTTTGATGCAACTTTGAGATGTATCATTTTGCTTTACGATGTTTTTAACTCTGTTGTTGGTGGCCGTGGATTCCCTTCTTCTTGGTTTAGCTGAGGGCTAGAAGGGCACATGTGTCCCCTGAGGACCCTGAGCAGATACCAGCTGGTAGACCGACAAAAGGGGTTGGAAGTAAACGTTTCAGAGGATCAAAAAATATTAGAGCTGGAAAGCGGCTTGTAGAACCTCTAGGCCCTCGCTGTCTGATAGACTGTTCCACAGCGGTGGGACACGCTGTGACTGTCCTGTCTGATGTTGTCGCCCTGGCTGCTGTGACCATGGAGCCACCCAGTGAGAAATGGCTAGCTGAGGAAGTGAAATTTTACTTTTATTTCATTTCATGAATTAAAATGTAAAGCGCCACCAATGACTAATTGTTACTGAATTGGATGGCACCGCTTTGGAATAACACTACTTGTTTTATGTGATCCCTTTATTTTATTAATAATTAAAAACTCAGCTATTTGCTGAGCAATTGTTATGTGCCAAGCATTTTCCTCTGTGCTTTAAATTTGTGCTCTTGTTTAATCCAGCGACTCTAGTATCAGTCCATGTTACAGATGGGGAAACAAATCCAGAAGGGGAAAGTGACTGGTACTGGTCAGCCACAGAAGACTCCAGACTCTGACACAACTGCTCATACCCTTTTTCTTAAGGCTAATCCACACATTGTCTACTCTTTGTCTCTGCATGACCGCTTTCTTCAATAAGTCCTTTCCCTTCCAGACCTCATGTTTATTCCCTGGGATGGCAGATGGCTGTGGCCCTCAGTCCACAGAGGGGGGAATATGGCAATGACTTTTCCTAGGTCCAGCCATTTTCTGGCTGGTTCCACTGGTAGCCTGTGTTCCCAGGCTCCCTCTGGATCCTCCCTACAGCAGACAGCAATCTGGGGAGACTCCTCTGCTCTCGGAGCCCTTGGCAAGCTCATGTACAGGCAAGTTCCAGGCTCCTCAGTCCTGGTGGAAGGAGGTGTTCAGAATTTCCCACATTCCACCTGGGTCCCCCATGCTCATGACTCCTAGTTTAGGAGAGAGGAGCAGCTGAGCCCTCTCTGGGGGGCAGGGGCAGACTCAGCTCCCCACCCCACATCCCGGGGCAGCTGAGGGGAACACTAGAGCTTTTCTGCCATCCCACCTGCTGTACCCCACTCGCTGGCAGAGGAGGACTCCTTCCCCCAGAAGCAGTTGCCTAGGCTCCTGCTTTTCTGACCCCATTGATTTATTGCTCTCCTCTTCCCCAGACAAAGCCCCTGCTTCTTAGACTCTTATCAGAGTCCCCTGGCCTATTGGGAGGGGGAGGGAGAGGAGGGACCATAGAGCAGATGGAACCTGCCTTCACCCCCCAAGAGGGATTTGAGGCTGAGCTCTCCTGCCTCTCTCACTCACCATCCAATATCCCAAAGCAGAATGGCATATGTCTGCTCTTCCCACTATGGGGGGACCACGGGTCTGCTTCTGCAACCCCCACAGCAAACAGCCTTTATGGTCCCACCATGGGTCAGGTGTGGCCCCAGGCAGAGCAAGAGAGAAGCCCGGGCGGAAAACAGCTGGTTCGAAGCTCTGGACCCAGGCAGGTGTTGTCGGACTGACCTTTAGGGGTCCCCAGACCTGTAGCTCCCTGGGGTTATAAGTGAGAGGGTTGGTAGCTTTCATCCCCATTCTTTTGCAGCCAGCCCCCCACCCCGGGGGGAGCTGGCATCTACCCTCTGAATCATGCAGCTCTTTCCCTCTTTTTTCCTGGAGACGAGGAGCTCAGCTTGGACAGATAGCAGGAACTTTGTCTTCTCTGTCCTGTCGCTGTAGCTGGGGCGACGATTGCCGCTTCCCTGATCTAGAAATGGGGCTTGTCTTCCTCCCTTCCTCCCGGTGAGGACCAGACCATGGGGGCGGGGGAGGGGGTGTGCCTTAAATTTTTCGCTTTATTTCACACCCCTTTGTACATCTGTGTTGTCTGCTACGGAAGGCATACTTATGTGCCTGATTTCATTGTTACAAGGAGGAAGCTTAGGTGCCGAACTTGACCCTGGCGAATTGCCGGACCGGGAGCCGAGAAGGCATCTGTAGCTTCTGAGGGTGTGGAAGGAGGCACATCAGCCTGGTTGCTTGTGAGCACTTCCTTTGTAAAGCTCTTTCCCTGGGGGGGGGGGGGGGGGGGTGGGGTGACACTGCTCTCTGTGGGACGCAGAACCAAATCTGCTGCGGTCAGGATGAAGAGAGTCCTTCCAGTGACCTTGCAGAGGCCCAGAAGCAAACAGCTGGGCCACCTCAGCCTCTGAAGGGCACAAGTTCGGGTTCCAGCTCAGAGCTGGGGGAGGGGATAATTAATTATTGCCCTGTCCCTGTACCTCTTGGGACCCTCGCTGACT